GGACAGGAAATAAAGAACTTAAATAATAAATCTCAGAAAAATAAATTGAATGAGTGAAAGAGCTCCCAAAGAGGGGAGAAAAACAGCAACTATGGTTTATAAATGAATTACATAAAACATTAGAGGAATAATTAATTCCAAGTTAACACAAACTGTTTATAAAAACAGGAAAAGAAAGAAACCTATCAAATATCTTTTATGAATCAAATGTTGTCTTGGTACCTAAACTAAGAAAAGATATAGCAGAGAGAGAACCTATAGACCAATATCCCTATTGGGTATTAAGATAATGTTATTAAATACAATATTAGCAAAGAAACTATGGTAACATATTTTTTTTTAAATTACATACTATGACCAGGTTGGATTTATACCAAAAATTCATGATTGGTTCAGTATTAGGAAAAGTATAAACATAATAGAGCATATAAATAATAAAATAACAATAGCATATAATTAAATAAATTAATATAGAAAAAGCTTTGGATGAAATACAACATCCATTTCTGCTTAAAAAAATTTTTTTTAATTTTTTTTAATTTTTAGGCAATTGGGGTTAAGTGACTTGCCCAGGGTCACACGGCTAGTAAGTGTCAAGTGTTTGGTCAGAGGCCAGATTTGAACTCAGTTCCTCTTGACTTCAGGGCCGGTGCTCTATCCACTAAAAATTATTTTTTAAATAAAAATAAAGAGTTCTTCCTTTATGTGGTGAATGATATCTATCTAAAACTAAGAACTAGTGTTATCTGAACTGGAAAAACACCAAGACACCTTCAATAGTTAAAAAAAAAAGTTTGTTGTGAAATCTTTGCAGATTTTTCTTCTTTTTTGTTGTTCCACTTCTAATTTCATCTTTCAATGCCTTAAGGATGACTTTGCACAGTTGAACTTTTCACCAAATTTTCTTTAAATTAGCTTTACTCTCTCTGTTTTTATGAGGTGATGCCAAAGATAGGGACTGCATTTGTGATTTCATTGCTTTGGAAGCTACCAGGTGAGGAAATTCTATCTACCAACAGATTTTGGCTCTGCATTATAGATAAAGAAGGTTGCTTAGAGGACTTAGGGATTAAATCACTTGTCCAGGGTTACATCACCAACGTATGTCAGAGATAAGACTGAAAAGACATTTTGGGGCTGCCATATCACCACCTCAATTTGGACCTGGATTTAGAGGACTTCAGCATCCCACTTCTACCTCCAATGCTCCTGAGAACTTGGATAACACAGACTATCTTTGGATAAATATTTTGGACAGCTAAGTCTTGCATATGTGTTTCCTTTTCCATTCTCTAGTACAGACATGGGGTCATCCTGTAATAACTCATTTAGAAAGGATGTCAAATAAAGGAATTCAAATAAGTAGAAGAAATTGATCAATTTAAAAATCTTTGAACTCAGAGACTCCTTGCTACAGTGAATGATCCTAATTCAGCTGACTATATCTTTCCAATCACACAATTAATTGAAAATTGTAGAGAATACAAGATCTTACTGTTAATTATTTATTACAAAAAAGCAATTGACTTGATAAACCAAAATGTAACAACAAATATATACATATATACATATATTTGTATTTCTCATGCTTATGCTAAAGTCAACCAATATTCCTTGAGAGGTACAAATACACAGCTTATTTTATACAATAATCTTCTGATAAACAATATTAATCTGAGAATGATAATTGAACTTACAGCAGGTCATGAGATCAAGTGAGAGAGCATAGAGAAAAATGGACGCAGGAGAAAGTCTTGGAGAATTCTCAAAGTTAGTGGGTGGGACATGGATAAAAATCCAGCAAAGGAGACTAAAAAGTGGGCAGACAATGGAAGGAAAATCAAAAGGGCAGTACCATGAGAATCTGAAGAGCAGAATCCAAGAGGAGGTGATTAACACCATCAAATGCTGCAGGGAGGTCAAGAAAGGTAAGATGCCATGAGAAATGGCATTAGATGTGACAATTAAGAAGACCTAGATAATTCTAGAAGGAATAGTTTCAGTTCAATTATGAGGACTGAAGTCTGGAATTCTTTCATTGTTGGAGCAGGTGTTGGAAAGAACTGGGCTATGCAACTTTCTCTTTAATCCTTTAATCTTTTACTAGTCTCCTGGAAATGGCTTCTTCAAGGAGTTTAGCAAGAAAGGAAGGAAAGAAATAGAATGATAGCTAGCAGGGATGGTAGAATCTAGTGATATTATTTTTAAGAATGGGGAGATTTTTGTAGGCAGCAGGGAACTAGTCAATAGGCAGACATTAAAGATGGCAGGGCACAATTTATTAAGAAAGATAGGCGAGGATTGGATCCAGGTTTTAGCCTTGGTTAGAACAGTGACCTCTTTGTAACATACTGGAGTGAAAGAAGAGATATCAGGGATTTTCTATGATACATTTTCCCCCTGCAACAACAACAACAATAACAAAACCCAACATCTTTTAAACATCAATATTTTTCTAATGATGTTAAATAGCTATGAATCATGGACACCGCGATCTCAGAAAAATCAAAATTGCAGGTGACCTAAAAGGGTAATGGAAAGAAGCACAGTAGATTTTAAGAGGTAGTACCATATTACCAACATTGACTTATATGCAAGCAGTATTATAAAAGATGCCACATGTATGACCAGAAAAGAAACTGGGTCAATTATATAGCAAGAGCATTTCATTGGCATTCATGAAATATGAAAGGAACTAGAGGAAGGACTCCAATATGTTTAGGCTTATTGTTTATGGAAGTTTTATGTAATGACATGGACAAGACTTGTTAAAGATGAATAATGGTAGATAATTATCAATCTATACCAATAGAGCAAGTACCTATCCTAATATAATCACAGATTCTACAGAATATCAAAATCTTAATTATATACGTAGATATTAAATTGTATTTTGTTGAACATATTAACATGGATTAATGGGAGTAGGCATGACATATTCCTACAAAGTCTAATAATATGGGGAAGGAGAGTTGGAGAATATGTACCAAAATTTGGTAATATCTCCAGTTTCTGCTACCACAGTTTTAACTCTCAGAAAAAATAATCACTTTGACACACTCATTCATTCATACAAGCAGGCAATGAACATCTGTTAAGTATCTACCATGTGCCAGGCTCTGTGTTAAGTGCTAAGGATACAGATAATAGAAAGGACAATCTCTGCTCTTAAGGAGCTTATAATCTTAGGGGAGGAAGCTGTTAATGATGGGGTATGAGGGAAGGTACATGGGCAAGGGGATGATGGAGGAGTCCAAAGGAGTGTAGCTGGGTGAGAAATAAAGAGACAGCCAGCCTGGCACCCTCCTTAAATGGAGGTTCTGGAAGGAGCTCTTTGCTCCACCCTCCATCCAGAGGGGCCCAGGTAGCAGGGGATACTGAGGAGATGTGATTTCCAGGGTTGATAGGATCTTGCAGGATGAAACGATTTCTGGGTGAGACATGATGGAAGAGTGCAAGGAGTAGAGCTATGTGAGAAATGAATAACTAGGGAAGGAAGTTTTTATGAAAATGGAAAAGAAGGCAATGATATCCGCCTCATACATTCAGTGAAAGGAAGACGAGAAGAGGCTCAAGAGATCATCCAATATGCCCACCAAGATACCTAGGCAGGCATTCGAGTCAGCACCACTACCTAAGTCTACAGTTTTATCTCAAAATCATAGATTGATAGATCTGGAGCATTTCCCTGAGGCCTGCACTGTTATCTACTAAATATAAGAAGACTTGGAGAAAAGTCTCCATTCAGTGAAGAATCTCTGCAAGATCATGCAGGAGAACCCTGACTAAACTGCATGGGTTGCAATCTACACCAAGAGAATTCCCATATTACTGAGCACATAGAACCATCGAACTGTTGAAGCACCATTCTAGCCCTCTCATTTTATAGCCTCCAAAGACGTAGCGTGGTGTAGAAAGGCCAGTCTTGTGGCAGGAAATCCTGCCTCTTATACAGATTATGAGACCCCAAGCAAGTCCTTTAACTACAAGGCCGCAGGCAACAATCTAAGCTTATAAACTGCCAGAAGAGCTGCCAATCACATGTACAAACAAACAAACAAACAAAAAAATGGGGCTTCAAGAGTCACTATAGAGTAGTATAGAATCAAATGAGATAATATCTGTAAATTGCTTAGAACAGTGCTGGGCACATCGTAGGTATTTAATAAATGCTTATTCAATTCCCTTTCCCTTCTACCATAGTAGAAAGAGTCAGTTTAAATCTCAGCTTCATTAATTATTAAGCTATGTGGCCATGGATAAATCATAATTACATATGTATGTATGCATACATAAATACACATACACACATGTGTGTATATATGTGTGTGTTGCAGTTAGACTAGACAACCTTTAAGGTCACTTCTGGATCTAACATTCTATGATTGCAGATAATGTGACTTGCCCAAGACCCAGAAGCTATAGTACTAGTGTTAGAAGTTAGAAGTAACTGAGTTAGTTTGGAACTGAGGTCTATTAACTTCTAATACAGTGCTCTTTTCATTACATAAAACTTTTCATACAACTCAATATGGTTGTTGAAACTGACAGGAAACTTTAAAGCCGAAGGGTTCCTTCATTTTCTCTGAATATATTCCATTCAATTCTGTAAATATTTATTAACATATTCATAATATTAATAAGTGCTGTGCTAAGTACTGGGGATTTGTTATTATTCAGTGCTTTAGTCACGTCAGACTCTGCGTGCCCCATTTGGGGTTTTCTTGGCAAAGATACTAGAGTGGTTTGCTATTTCACGCTTCAGCTTGTTTTACAGACGAGAAAACTGAGGCAAACAGGGTCAAGTGACTTGCCCAGAGTCACACAGCCGGTAAGTGTCTGAGGCTATATTTGAACCCAGGTCTTCCTGACTCCCGGCCCATTAATCTATCTACTGAGCCACCTAGCTGCCTCCAAGTACTGGGGATACAAAAGAAGAAGGAGTCAGTCCTTGCCCCCAAGAAGCCAACACACAAAAAGAAGGTGAAAAGGATTGAGGGGTGCTTACTTTGGCAGCATATACATTAACATGGGAATGATACAGAGAAGATTAACTTGGCCCCTGTGCAAATTTGTGAAGCATTACATATAAGAGGAAGAAAGAAAGAAAGAAAGAAAGAAAGAAAGAAAGAAAGAAAGAAAGAAAGAAAGAAAGAAAGAAAGAAAGAAAAGAAAGAAAGAGAGGAAGAAAGAAAGAAAGTAAGAAAGAAAGAAAGAAAGAAAGAAAGAAAGAAAGAAAGAAAGGAAGAAAGAAAGGAAGAAAGAAAGAAAGGAAGAAAGAAAGAGAGGAAGAAAGAGAGGAAGAAAAGAAAGAGAGAGGAAGAGAGGGAGGGAGGAAGGAAAGAAGGAAGGAAGGAAGAAAGGGAAGAAGGAAGGAAGGAAGAAAGAAAGAAAGAAAGAAAGAAAGAAAGAAAGGAAGAAAGAAAGGAAGAAAGAAAGAAAGGAAGAAAGAAAGAGAGGAAG